ATTAGCTATTATTTCATTTATAATTAGAATATAGAAAATATTTTCAATAGTACCAAGTTAAAAGCATAAGAATACTTTTAAACCCTGCTACTTTTGTTTAAATACTGATATTGCATTCTAATATCTTCGCTTATTGACATTCAGAATTTTAATCCTGAGGACAGGCATCTGGGGTATATCTACAACTAAATTGGATTTGACTAAAATAGAACCTAAGAGCTGGTTAAACTACCTTCATCCCTATCATTAAGTTCCCCTTCACAATTCTGTAAACAAAAGATCTCCTTAACAAACTGAACAAATTGAGTGAAAAATCTTTCCCTAAAGGATGGTCTTTTTAAGAATTTTTGTACAGGACTCTTTTGGGATCAAAAGTTCAGAGGTTTCACAGTACAGTATAAAGTCTAACTTCACTTGATGGTGCTACGTATGTTAAATATTTATAAAATATTTTTGCAAAGGTGAAAAAATGCATAATCTATTTACAATTATTGAGATAATAGCTAAACAAATGTCTACTCTTCCTAATTATGTGGTTCTTGGATACAAAACGTAATTAATGTGCCCTTCAATTGTATCCATCAAATTTGAACACATTCAACAAATCTTTGCCCTGCTTACTACATGAGTGTTGTAAAAATCCAGAGATAAAGTCTCTGACAACATTTTAGAAATGGCAAAAGTAGAGACAAACATTGGTGATTTCTAACTCCACTTTTATCTCTTGTCCTTAATCAATAAATCAAAATGTATTAATGTATAAATTTACCTCATAATAGGTTATGAATTGTATGAGAACTCATTGGCTACCTTTAATAAATATTCATGAAAATACTTATACTTTCAATATAATTACTTATTATATTAAAGTCAGAAATTAAGAATAATTTTACTAGATACTTATTGTACTTCGGCTAATTTATATTTAGATGAGTCATTTAGATAAGGGCCAACAAACACAATCATTGTACTACAGCTTGATTTTTCCCAACTATTTTGGTAATACAGTTAAGAACCTATTGACTTCTGAGCATTATAAGAATAGGCAAAAGGAAAATACTTTTCATATATCCACAGAAATGTCACAACAGAACAGAGGGGAACAGAGGTGCTATAGTAAAAGGCAGACTGTGGTAAAGGTTACATGTGGAGTATGTTTTTAAAGTAATGATAGTAATTATTTCCCTAGGGAACTTTTTAAAAATATATAATTTTATTTCAGAGAGGAAGGGAGAAGGAGAAATAGAAATATCAATAATGTGAGAGAATCATTGATTGGCTGCCTCCTGCTCACCCCCAACTGAGTATGGAGCCTGCAACCGGGCATGTGCTCTGACCAGGAATTGAACTGTGAAATCCTGGTTCATAGGTCGATGCTCAACCACTGAACCACACCAGCTGTGCCTTAGGGGACTCAATTGTCTCTCCTTTCTCCTGTATTTTTGTTACTTTTAAAATGTGACATATACTAAAGAATATACAGTGATGAATGTCATCAATTATTTCCCTCCCTATATGCATGTACTACTATTCCCCCATTGAGAAATGCGCTTCTTCTTTCCCTTCCATGGAAACTAGTCTGGCCTTGTTTGTTTTGACCAATAGAGTACCGAGAAATAACACCCTGAGACATCTGAGCTCAGGCCTTAAAAGGTTAACAAATTCCGCTTCTTTGAACACTGATTCTTGGGGCTCCTCCTTTTGGAATTCAACTGCCAGGTTGTGAGAACTCAAGCCCTATGGAAAGGTCATGTGAAGGAGAAACATACACTGCCAACCATGTGATTCCCCAATTCATATATTTTTTAAAATCTTTATTGTTGAGATAGATGCCCCTCTTTTTTTCTCATTACCCCCCTCCACCTGGTTTCTGGCCCACTCCAGGCCTTTACTACCCTATTGTCTGTATCCATAGGTAATGCATATATGCATCTAAGATTTTTGGCTAATCTCTTCCTGGCCCCTCCTTCCCCTCTTCCATCTGAGATTCATCAGTCTGTTCCATGTTTCCATGCCTCTGATTCTATTTTGTTCACATTTATTCTGTTCCTTACTGGGTAGAATAATCTTGGTTGTAGGTCCTTGCTATTCATCACTTTGAATATTTCTTGCCACTCCCTTTAGGCCTGCAAAGTTTCTGTTGAGAAATCAGCTGACAGTCACATAGGTGCTCCCTTATAACTGCTCTTCTCTTGCTACTTTTAAGATTCTCTGTCTTTAGCCCTGGGCATTTTAATTATGATGTGCCTTGGTGTGGTCCTCTTTGGGTTCCTCTTGTTTGAGAATCTCTGCGTTTCCTAGACTTGTAAGTCTATTTCTTTCACCAGGTAGGGAACGTTTTCTGTCATTATTTTTTCAAATAGGTTTTCAATATCTTGCTGTCTTCTTCTGGCACCCCATAATGCGAGTGTTGGTACACTTGAAGTCCCAGAGGCTCCTTACACTATCTTCATATTTTTGGATTCTTTTTTCCTCTTACTCTTCTGATTGGGTGATTTTTGCTTCCTCATTTCCAAATCATTGGTTTCTCAGAATCCTCTCCTCTACTGTTGAATCCCTATAAATTATGCTTTATTTCAGTTAGTGTGTGCTTAATTTCTGACTCATCCTTTTTCATGTCTTTGACATTCCACTAAGATCCTTGAAAGTCTCAGTAAGTCCCCTGAAGGTCTCATGAAGATTCTAGAGTAACCTTATAACTGTGGTGTTGAACTCTATATCCATTAGTTTGCTTTCTTCTATTTCTTTCATTTTTCTTTGTTTCCCCATTTGGCTGCTTCCCTGTGTTTGTTTCTATGTATTGGGTAGATCTGCTGTCTCCTTCATTTGGTAGAGTGGCCTTGTATAGTAGGTGTCCTATAGGGCCAAGTGGCTTAGCCTCCCATCACCTGAGCTAAGCACTCTAGGTGCACCCTTTATGGGCTGTGTGCACAGTCTTGTTGTAGTTGAGACTTGATTGATGTTGGTGTCACTGGGAGGAATTGACCTCCAAGCCAATTGGCTGTGAGGACCAACTGCAACAACAGTGGGAGAACTGATATGCAGGAGACACCCCTATGGAGCAGGACTTGCTTCAGTGGGACTTTGGTGCTCATTAAGTCGGCCCCTTGAGTATGTCGCTTGTGGATGTGTAGAGTTGTAATCTTCTATGGTCTGACCCTGACCACTGAATGCACTGGCTCTTAGGTCTTCAGGGAGGTGCAAAGTCAGCCACTGCCTGGGGCCACCAGGCAAGAGCTACAAAGCAATCTGCATATTCCTTCTATTTGTATCTGGTTTAGAAGTGCCCAGGCAAGACCCAGCTGTGAAGCAAGGCAGGCTGGTGCTAGTGCTAGATCTTGGGCCTTTTATTGATAGGTTTGGGGTTCTTTGGCCCAGCTGCTGCTTGTTTGAGAGATTTTAGCCAAGTCTGAAGCCTGAGCAAGGACAGGCCATTCATATGCAAAAGCCATTGCACACACGTTGGGTGAGGCTGCATATTGGATGGGTGGGGTCACAGGAAATCACCAGGGCAGAGCAAACAGAAATAGCTGCCTGTCAACCCTGCAGTCCTGCGACACTGGGGATTGAGCCCACAACCTGGGCATGTGCCCTGACCGAGAATCAAACTGTGACCTCATGGTTCACAGGTCAACACTCAACCACTGAGCAATGCCAGCCAGACATTCCATTGATTTTTAGAGAGTGGAAGGGAGGGTGGGAGGGGGAGGGGGAGAGAAAGTGAGAGAGAGACAGAGGAAAAGGAAGAGTAAGTGGGAGAGATTGGTTGCCTCCTGCATGTGCCTGGACTGGGACCCAGGATCAAACCCACAACCCTTCTATGCAAGTGATGTTCTAACCATTGAGTGACACTGGCCAAGGCTAAGTGTACTTGTTTTTAAGCTTTGTAATAATTGTATCACACTACATGTAGGCTTCTGAGACTGGATTTAATTATCACTTTATTTTTTGGTAATTTTCCCTGCTAAATAAAATTATACAACACACAATTTTTTTTCAATAGCTGCTCACGTTTATTGAATGTTTGCTTCATATCAGGCACTGCTCTACATGCCTGATATATACAAAGTAATTTAATACTCAATTCTATGAGATAGATACCATTATCTCCATTTTATAGATGAGAAACAGAGACACAGGAGGGTTAAATAACTTTCCCAAGGTCACACTGCCAGTAAACATCAGACCTTGAATACAAAACCCACAATTTATTTTTCATTCTCTTTTTGATGGACATTTGGGTGGTTGCAAATAGGGATGCCTTGAACATTCTCACTTGCACTACTGTGCACATATGCATGAATTTCTCTAAGGTATATATGTAGAATAGTTAGGTATTAAAATATGTGAATGCTTAACTTTACCAGACAATGCCAAATTGCTTTCCAATGTATCAGTTTACAATCCCACCTATAGATGTCTTGTTTTTTTTTAAATTGATTTCAAAGAGGAAGAGGGAGAGGGAGCAATAGAAACATCAGTGAGAATCATTGATTGGCTGCCTCCTGCACATCCCCTACTGGGGATCGAGCCTGAAATCCAGGCACGTGCCTGATCAGGAATCAAACTGTGACTTCTTGGTTCGTAGGCCGATGCTCAACCACATAGCCATATCATTTCTTAATTTTTCAATCTAAAATGGTATTCACTGTAGTCTCAATCACTTATGAGAATAAACATATGTTCATGTGTTCAGTCATATCCTCTGCAAGTATCTGGTTTCTGTCTTTTGCTCATTTTACACAGGGTAATGATGAACAGAAGTAGTGATAACAGGCATTACTGTTGTGTGTCCCATTTTTTATGTATATAATTTAATCATTATCCTTTTTTACATAATGCTGAATTCACTTAATAGTATTTTGACTTTTTATCTATGTTCATAAGTGCTATTTATCTGGAACTTTATTTTCTCCTACTGAATGGGTCTGATTCCAATACAATAATAGTTATACTGACCTCATAAAATGAGCTGGAGTATTCCTTTATCTATTCTCTGAACCTGCGTTTTCCTAGACCATGGTCTATTTTGTCTAAGTTTTTAAATAAAAATGCTCCTGGTAGTCTCTTATCATTTTTCATCTTTACTATATCTATAGGTACTTTATTATATCCTTTTTCAATCATTATGTTGTTTACTTGTGTCCTGTTTTCCTCTTGTTCAAAATTTTATTTTGTCATGAAAACTCTGGCATTGTGATTTTGTTTTCAAACTCATTCATTTCTTCCATTGCCTGTGTCTCCTTGCTTCTACATTATTTATTCTGTTGTTCTTTTCCTTAAGTTACACACTTAGTTTTGTCCCTTAGTTTAAAACCATGTCCCTCAAAGTGCAGTTTCTGCTGCACCGCCCGATTTTCCAAATGTAGTACTTATAGATTCTAAGTATGTTTTCTTCTTTCATCTGTAAAGTTTTATTAAACTTGTAAATATAAGATTTTTAAGAATTAACTTTTATTACTGACCTCTAACTTATTTCTGATTATCCATTTAATATTAACTTTTTGAAATTTACTATAACTTATTTCATGTGTAGCACATGGTCATTTTTTGCTGATATACAATGAATAAGAAGAATATTCTGTTGATTATTCTTAATATGTTCACTGACTCAATAGTGAAAATTCAAATCTATATTCACTAATTTTTTCAGTCTGCCTGATTTATCTATAATTAAGAGCTATTAAAATCTCCCATTATGTTGTTCAATTTGTTGACTTAGCCCTATAGTTCATACATTTTGAGGTCATTTTATAGAGGAAATACAAATTTACAATTGTTATATATTCCTAGAGAATTTATCCTTTTCCATTTAGTAACCTTCTCCATCCTTACACATCATAAAATCTAATTTTAACATCACTAAAACTACACGTATTCTCTTTTGCTATTTGCCTAATGTTTGTTTTTTTAACCCAGAAAAATTTTTAAAAATCAACCTGTTGGTTCATTTATTTTAGTCCATTCATATTTATTTTAATTATTTGATGTCTTATTATCTACTTTTGTTCTTCTTCTCACCCATAATTTCTTCCCCTTTTTTGTACTTCCTATTCCATATTTTAAACTTATTTTCCTCTACAATGATTCATCCCATATCTATTCTTTAACAGTCATACTTGAACATTTTACCATATATATTTAACAATTTTAAAGTTAAACAATATCTTACCTATTTTCTGAATAAAGGAATCTCAGAATACCTTAATCCTAATCATCTTCCTCTCATAAGCCATTGTCGTTTTTCAATTATATCCTATTTTAAAAGTACACATTAATGTTGCATAAAATATTGTTTTACATTTGTTTACAACTTTATTTCTTATAAACACTTCATTACAATTGTTTTCTATAAACAACACTTGATTTCCATGTTTATTATTTTATTTGCTCACTAGCTCTTCAATTTCCAATCACTTTTTGGAATCCTTTTCCTTCTTGAGATCATGCTGTTGCAGTTTCTTTAATGAAGGTCTATTGATGGCAAAATCTGTTTTTCATCTGAACATGTCTTTATGGTCATGTCTGAACATGTCTTTCAGTCTTGCTTGGCTCAAATTCTAAGTTGATCAGTTTGTTTTAGAATTTTGAAGGTGTTATTTTACCATCTTTGGGGTATATACATTGTTGCCATAAAGAAGCCTACTCAGTATTTGTCTCATCTTCCTTGATCCTTTCCTCACTTTGATTGCTTTTAAAATTTGTTTGTTATCTAGCAGTTAAATTCATTGGGGTTAGGTATGAATTTCATCTATATATGTTTGGGATATATATTGTGCTTCCTGAATTTATGAATTCATGTTTTCCAACAAATGTAGAAAATTGTTATTTCTTCAAATATTGCCACTCCTCCATTCTCTCCATTCTTTCCTCCCCTAGTACTTTAGTCTTCAAAATCTTCCTTCCATACCTCTTAGTATTTAGATCTTCCAGAAGCTCATTTCTCCTTGCTGTACATTGGGTCATTTTTTAGATTTAGCTTTCTGTTTATTCAATGTCTTTTCAGATGAGTCTAATATGACATTCAACATTTCCAAGGATTTTTTTTTTTAAATTTCAAGTAACAGTTCTCATTTCTAGAGAATGTAATCTGAAGGTGGTTATTTCTATAGGTTCTTTCTTATCCTAGTTAGTTTCAATTTGTGACTGGTGATCTCTAGTCATGAAATAACATTGATTTATCTTAATCTATGAGAATTTTCAGCCTCTGTCTTGCTGCTGTCAGGCGTTATAGGGGACTACAAATTGAGGACCAGGTCAACTGTCCTGGCTAGGGTAGGATCTCAGATTCAGATTACTCTCCTTGTTTCTGGTCTGAGGCAAACTGCCTAAGGCAGTGCTGCAATTGGTATCTGCCATCTGAGCAACCACAGCCCACCCATATGCTTAATACAGTATTTACAATTTCCAACTCAAAATGTATTCATTTTTGTGGCGAAAGAAAAATAAAGGTATAATTTTTGGAGCTCTCCCCTACTTTCCTTGAGTGTATTAATGCATTCAAAGGTATATTTTTATTCAGGATCTAGGTGTTTTATAGTACCTAGTCTAATGTACTGCTGGAAGAAAAAAATCTTATTTAATATAGTGAAACAATTATGATATACAAACATGAGAAAGCACATGATTTATGGCAATCTTTACTGATTCAAATCCGGAAAGGTTTCCTACTCCTTGATCAGAACTCGGTCAATATTTTGGAACTGGGTAAACATTAGAAAGGTCCTACAGTATGAACTTACCCAATAGGTTGTTGCCCCACTTTGTAGAAATTTCTCCTGTTGTTCTATTACTAAGATATTCAGCCAACCCTGACTATTCAAATTCTCAATGTCCTGATGAATATGTGATCCAGATCAAGAGGACTAAAATCTGTGAAAATAAACCATCAGTTTGAACATTTAAAAATAAATAATAATGATTTGTTACATGAAGCTTCCATCTAGATAAATAATTTTATTGCAGGGCTAAACAAGGCAGCTGGTGATTTCATTTGTCAGAAACACACCTAATAGGAGTTTGGTAGCAGGTCTGGCTGCTGTTGTCTTAAATGCAGAAGGCTTGTTTGCATCTTTTATTATTCATAATTGTTGGTCAATGTTCTGTGGATGATCAGGAACCTCTTTGTGCTTCACCCTAATCACTGAAGTAGTGAAAGAAGATACCCACAGCAAGGACTGCAACTGCAAATGCTGCAATCATACCTAAAAGTAAACAAACACAACACAAATGGAAATGGAATGAGCGAAAGAAAGGTTTACTTGATTCTAGCCTCTGAAATGTAGGTAATTGATGGGCCTAAACAACAACAGAATACATATTCTTACACACAAATACATATTCTTACACACATAGACATGTCCTAAAAGCCAACAGTCTTAGAGGAAATACAGCAATAAGTTTTAAAAAAATAGATTGCAAAGGTTAGAGTGGTAATCGTGTACTTCATCACTTTAACGAAACCTTAAACAACAAATAATAGTGTCTTTCTTACACATGTGTGCACTCACACACATCTAAGAGAAAAACTAACACATACTTTAAAAGGGTCCTATCTATTTATATTGAAATTCCAGTTGTCTCATGCAATTAAGCTTAAGCCAAAAAGACAGCTCTAATGTGCAGTGGTTCTCAATCAGTAAATGCAGTCACTTGAACAGCTATTGAAAACTACAGAAATTCAGATCACCATTCTAAAATCTAAGAACTAGTAACTCATTTTTTGCCCCCTGATTATTAAGTTAAAAAACAAACAAACAAAAAACCGGACTAGAGAAACACACACACACACACACACACACACACACACACACACACACGCGCGTATAAAGAATTTATAAAATTAACAAGTTTATCTAATAAATAAGTGACAAGAAAAACAAAACTCTGGCTCTCTGTCAAAAACCTTATACATTCCATGAAACAAGAGTGTACATGTTCTTCGATCAATAAGTCTGAAAAATGTGAAAGTGACTGCCACGCTATCATGGAATCTTTTAAATACTTAAGTGCATTATAAATTTCAGTCTCAAATTTGACTTTTTTTCATAACAGATATCGAATCTGCAGTAACAATCCTAGGAGAACCAATTTGGAAAGTATTGGTCCTACTATACTAGTCAATTCCCCAAACTCAACATGCTTTTCTTCTAAAAGCACCAATAAAATTAGTAGGAAGGGTCATCTTTGAGGGCCCTTGGGATAACGCATCATTTGCACATCTTTCTATCTCCAGGTCTTAGCACGTTCCACAATTCTCAAAAAATACTGGCTTAATCTAGTACCTTTAAGTAAACTAAAACCCAGTAATTATAAAGTAACAAGAAAACGGAAAACCAAAAATACAATCTTTTTCAATATTATAAAAGAAATAAAATACCCATGTTTTGCCGAATTTTCAATACTACTGAAGTTTGCATTGGTTCTTTTGGCTGTTCATCATCTCTATTGTCCAACGGAGCTTCAGAATTCATAGAGGAACTCAGAAAAGCTGCAAGAGGATAAGAATAATGAATCCTATTGTGGTTTTGGCAATTAATAATTTCAAATAATTAGATATTAGTACTAAAGATGGGATCAGCAAACTGCTGCCCATGGGCCCAACTTGCAGGGGTTGGCCAGACCTTATGTGTTCCACAAAGCCTAAAATAGTAACTATTTGAACCCATACAGAAAAGTTGTCCTGACTCTTGACCTAACCTGAAATTTGAAATATATAAGCAAAATATGACAATAAATCTGACCATTAAAAAAAATTGTTAAGCAAGGCAAGCATGATATCTCATTTTACAGATGAAATATAAAAACCTGGGAAGTCAGTGCATATTTGAGGTCGTGGGCAGCAGATTGAGGATTGAGATACGAGGTTTTTTTCTACTTAATTACGGGTGAGAATAGTTTTTGTAGGTTTGCTTAGCTGAATTTATTTAACACCGACTAAAAGTATTTGAAAAGAAAACATTCTTAGAGATCCTATAGAGCAGTGGTTTTAAGCCGCCTAGTGCTAAAGAGTCTGACATAAAAGCCAAGCATGTACAACAGGTGACAGCAGCATTACTCTGGTTGAAGTAGGGAGGGGTGGCTCCTGGAGCCAGACTCCTCTTCCTCTCAGAGGGCAGTGGAGTTCGGGCCTATAGAACTCTGGGGAACTATGTCTGAAAGCAGCTACTTCATGTTGATCCTTTTATTTACAAAGAAGAGGACCACGGTGAGAGACAGGAAACACTACTGTTTAAATTCCAAGTAAAGTAGCCTCATACATGGATTTAAAATGTCCTTATAAACGAGTGTATCTCCATATACTAGCACATAAACCTATTGAAAGAGATACTTAGAGTACCAAAATGGATGAAAGAAAAAGGGAAAAATGCCTAGCTCTCATCAATTTCCCATGAAGAAAAATTTACTGTCATTTTTGGAAATAATCCTTAGTAACTACCTCAATTAGAATCAAGGGAAGTCTCATTCTATTTATATCCTCTTAACATATAACTAAAGAACTTTAAAAACAAAGATATTTTTCTTTTTTTCCTACTCCACTACCAAGTTGTCACAAAGGCGAACAAATTTTTATTTTGAACTGTCTCTAAAACTATTCAGTCTATTTCTACAGCTTCTTGTTTGCTAAAGGGCCATAACACCTTGGTTCTAGACAACATTAGCCTACCAGCTCCCAATTTCCCTTAACTTTATCTGATAAAAATTGAATCTCTGTCAATCTCTCCTTTACCCACCTCCACCTTCCTCCCCTTTACCCTTTGGCACAGGCGGGAGTGGGGGGTGGGGGAGGTTGGAAGAAGGTGGAGGTAGGTAAAGGTGAGACTGACAGAGACTTGACTTGGGGGGGTGAACACACAATACAGTGTACAGAGGATGTGTTGTAGAACTGTGCACCTGAAATCTGTATAATTCTGTCGACCCGTGTCACCCCAATAAATTTAATTTAAAAAAATGGAATGGATAACATAATTTTATTCATATTAAAACACACGCACACACAAACTTTGGCTTTTCTATCAGAAAATATCACTGGTAAAAAAATCTTTTTCTTTGGGCCATATATCTTTGTATCAGGTAACAAACAAAAATATTGGATAAAGCATGAATTATACCTATTTGCTAAAGGAATTTTTTTAAAAAATGTAAGCACTTGTACATAAAGAGCACAAAAATGGTTCTATTTGTCCTGATATATGATACATTTAATATTGAACTGTTACATGTGAAGATCATGCTGCACAAATAATATACTTGTATAAAAAAAAAAGACATTCCATTGCTCTATTATTTCCATTTTTAAATCGGTCAAAATCCTGTGACTTGATACAAATTCAAGGTAAGTTTACTGAAACAGAGCACTTTCAAGAACAAATAAAGCCCTGTCAAAACAATTTATTTTTTGTGAGGGTCTGTAGGCTTTTAATTCAAATCTCAGGCACTATGTTATTTTACCAATACTTTAATTTAAATGCGAGTGACATATGTTCAATAAGAAATTAGATTGTAACTATTCCTTAAAGCCAGGTAACTAAACTTCAGACAAATCATGTAAGAAAACAACTTTCTTGAGCAACTGTTAACCAAAGAGACAACAAGGGCCATGTTGAATACATGCGAATTGTCAATGCGTTCCATTTCACGCCAAGTTGTTAATAGGTGGCAGGACTATTTAGAAGCTTAAAATGAAACATTAGGACTTGAACTCCTTTGGTTAGTTGTCTTCTTCTCCATCCCTGAATCCTAAATTAATGAGGTTTCACTACAGTCAGTGATTTAGCCAAAAATTACATTTTCTGTATTACTTTTCCCTCATAATTAAATTAGCAACATTTAATGAAACAGCAAAAATTAATTTCAGTTCAGATAGCAAGACAGAATTAGTAAAATGAGTTTCATCCAATTTTAAAGGTGTGTCTCCCAATTTTAGCTGATACTGTGGATAAAGTACATCTGAATTATTAAGTTAATATCTACTAGGAGGTGACTAATGCATTTAAGTAATTTTAAAGCCATAGTTATCCCTCACCTTAAGTGAGTCATTTTGACAAACAAATTGTTCTTCATCCCTTAAGTCATTTAAAACTATGTTATTTTAAGATATTTACTTGGCAAATATGTATTTTAAACATAGCAACTACTTGGCAGCTATATTATAGAACAGAAATAAATAATAATCAAGCTAGATACTTATAAGTTTAATGCTAACTATATAGCAATTGACTTCAATTTTTAAATTTAAATATTTGAACTCTACTTTTTATGGTTTATTATATATAAAAAGATTAATTTAAAATATTTAGGAAAATCTATGCACACTATAAAAATACTTTCCTACTTTAATATTAATATTTTTCATTATAATCCAGAAATCAGTATTTTAAAGCCTTATAATGCTACTTGTTATCATGCTGCCTTTATGTTTAGAAAGTATTGCACCTAACGTTTTTACTAAATTCTCATACCAACCCCAAGAGAATCTGAGGTTCAGAGGGTACTTGTTTAAGGTTATACAGCTGCAAGTGCACACCTGGACTAAGCTAAAGAACTATCTTGGAAAAATTATGCATCTAATATTTTTGAGTAAATTAATAAGTAAATGAATGACTAAGGAATGACTAAACAACCAATAGGATATTTATGTAAAAGCACTTAATTTTTCTATTACAAGGTTTGTTTTCACCCTACCTCATAATTTGGAAATGTGTCATTTCATTATTAAAAATACACTAATTACTAAATCATTCCTTCTCATTTAAATATTTGATGAAGCAAAACCAATATAATTCTAGAAAATTAATATTCTTGGCTACAATACAACTCCTATCAGTGTTCATTTCCTAAAAAGCCTAGAGTTACTTTTACTGTATTCATCCCTCCAAATGAACTCAAATGTTACCTGCTCTGAGAAGTTTTCCCTGAATCCCTTACAGGTAGAGTGCTTGTGCTAAAGATTAATTTAAAATATATAGGAAAATCTATGCACATTATAAAAATACTTTCCTACTTTAATTAATATTTTTCATTATAATTCAGAAATCATTATTTTAAAGCCATATAATGCTAGCTATGTAGTAAATAAATAAGACTGTAGTCTTATAGTCTGTATTGGTTAGGTCCCATGGACAGGTAGTAAAACAAAATTGTTAGAAAAAAACACACAGATTCTAGAATCAAACTACTTAAGTTTAAGCTTCACCATTAGTAGGTATGTAACCTGACTAAGTTATTTGACCTTTCTGAGCCTGAAGTCTCTCATCTGGAAAATGAGAGAAAAGTCATCATGGAAAATGGGGCTAATAATAATCTGCATCATAGGGTTGTTGCAAGGATTAAATGATTTCATATTTGTAAGGCTCTTAAAACAGTGTCTGGAATGTAAGAGGTTCTATATAAATAGCTAATGTTGTTATTAGAGTATTAGGTTTAATTCAGGGTAATATATTTCAAAGAAGGCAAATCCTATATAATAAAAGAGTAATATGCAAATCAACCGAATGGTGGAGCCGCCAGTCGCTATGATGCGCAATGACCACCAGGGGGCAGGCGCTCAATGCAGGAGCTGCCCCCTGGTGGTCAGTGCATTCCCACAGTGGGAGTGCCACTCAGCCAGAAGCCCAGAAGCCGGGCTCACAGCTGGCGAGAGCAGCAGCAGTGGCGGGAGCCTCTCCCACCTCCGTGGCAGCACTAAGGACATCCTAGTGACGACTTAGGCCCCCTAAGCCATCAGTCGGACATCTCCCAAGGGCTCCCTGAAGGCAAGAGGGTGCAGGCCGGGTGGAGGAACCTTCCCCACCCCCTGAGTGCATGAATCTCGTGCACCGGGCCTCTAGTTAGAGTGTATTTAAAGAAGTCATTTTTATTTATTTTTATGTGTTAGTAGATTTTTTTTATTGATTTCAGAGAGGAAGGGAGAGACAGAAACATCAATGATGAGAGAGAATCACTGACCAGCTGCCTCCTGCATGCCTTCTACTGGGAATGGAGCCCACAACCTGGGCATGTGCCCTTGACTGGAATCAAACCTGGGACCCTTCAGTCCACTAGCCGACGCTCTATCCACTGAGCCAAGCCGGCTAGGACTAAAGAAGTCATTTTTAATTTTTCTTAAGTCACCAGCCCCTTGAAAGCTACAGATCTCTTCCCCGGAAGAAACTATACAATTACTTTCAAGTAATTTGTGGATCTCCCAAAAGCTATCTATGACCCCAAGGGTTTAGGACACCACAGGTTAAAAATTCCTAATCTAGAGAAAGGCAACCAAAATTGCAAGATAAAATGAGGTCTGAAAACTACAATAAAGAGGTTAAAGGTATATGAGAATATCTGGCTTTAAAGTATTTAGAACATAACAGTTACCCTCAAATTTAAAGCATGGACCCCCCAAAGTAGTACTCATGTTTCATTGCTGCAGATTACTGAACAAAGTATAGATTACAGGAAGGCAGACCAGTATTAGGAATAAGGAAGAATAGAGTCTAACCACCCATCTGCAAGGAATACAGATTCAGTATTATAAGACAGAGGATGAACCAGGACAACTCTAATGATCCCACATAAAGTGCCTTCAGATATCAACAACAGAATGGGTCAAGAATTATTGGTAGGCCTTAGTGAAAGGAGTAAAAAATAAATAAATAAATAAAAACCTCTACCCTCACGATTCTACGTTTGGTTTGCAGAGATATCACAGTCACTAATATGGGAAAACATATTTTGAAAAGTAGCAATTATTTTTTCAACTAGTCTACTTACAAAATCTCTATTAGAAAACATTAGTTCTCAAATTATTGAAACACAGCTACTGCTTTAACATCAGGTACCGAGCAATTTGGAGTGTTGTTGTTGTTTTCCTTTAAAACAAACTTACTACTCCACAACATGATTAATACTAACCTGGAGCTGTTAAAAATCAAACCTGGTAGTCTCCAACGAACTTGAGACTTTACTGACAGATTTGTAATTCACCAAAAAAAACACTTACTTGACATCATATTAACAAGAGAACTCTGAATCAAACACTCTACTTGGTGAGGGTTGGGAATTAGTTAAGCAACAGAGGAACAACTAAAAAATTAGAATTAGAAAAAGAACTTAAAAATTGCTATATTCTAATTTCATAAACATCCATATTCAAAAGTAACCTAAAAATTTTATTAGTATATCGGAAATTTCAAGATTGATAAATGACTACGTATGCAATATTCATTGATATTTGCAAATAACTACTTCTATGACATATTTTTTAATGTTTCAGGAAGTCTGTCATACATGCCTGTACACATTTATTGACATGTTTTCATAGCCTACTTTCACTAGAAACAAAAACAGAAACAAAAATGAAGCAAAGCCAAACAAAACAAAAAATAGCCTTCCAAAATGTAAGGTCAAATGTGAAAATGATGGGTGGGAGAAAATGTGTCAGACAATTAAGATAGTTTGGCAAATCTATACTCCATAAAAATAATTTTTGGAACTGCCTATTTCAGCTTAATATCCAATTATATAAAGGGGGGTAAAAAAAATAAAGGCAAATAGTATGGAGAAGACATTTAATAAAGTATTTTTAAAAACTTTGTGACATCATGTTTAACCAAATAATTAATCAAAATAATGGGTTTTGAGAAAACTTCTCTTACAATAAAAGAAATACCTCAAAACCATATATTCCCACCTACTTAAGGCTGCTCTTGTTTTCAGATCTTAGAAAAACCTGAAGTATCTTAAATGTCGGTACAATTTTCTAGGAAAACTGACTGCATGTTTATATATGCAGAAATTAGACACCTTTTTAAATGCCTCGGAAGTATCAAACAGAACGAGCTTTAAGGAAAAGACATGATATTAAACTAATGTCTCTTAGGTAATCTTAGCAGTAGTCTAATCAGATTCTTAAATAACATCATGGGATTACCTGTGTTTATTTCCTCTGCAATTTCCAAATCTTCTATTTGAATCCTATGATCTAACATCTCTATAAAATGGTCTCTGATTTCTTCAGCTGACTCATCACCAAATTTATAATCACATAACATTACCGTGGATCCCGGAATGGGGACAAAAACCCGGTGAGGAAGGATGTGAAACTCTTTTTCAGAATCTAAAAGGAGAAGAAACATTATCAATATTTAGATAAGTCTGTCACTGGTATCAGTGACATATATTTTGTAAGTAAATGAAAGTGTCATATACATACCAATAGAAATAAAAAAAAAGTTTTTATTTTCTAATTGACTTGACACAAGATTGCTGCTATTGAATTCTGCTTTACTTCAATATCCCTGGCCTCTGCAAGGGATCTAAATATTCCTGTGAAATATAAGCTTATCACTGCCTTCAATATGAGGATGTTGTTGATTATATACTTGTATTAATCACCCTTTTATGAAAGAATAACCAGGAGAAAATTTTGTTTCTGATTATTTTTCTTGTTTGTTTTAACTTTACAAACAATTTCCCCCGCTTCATGCAAGTATAGAGCCAAATTAGTGGCCCATCTATATCGAGTGCATAGAATATGACAGCATACATTTTTATACATGTATGTACAAAATAATCTCACCACTCACATAATCTACAAAGTGCTAGTCCCCTCTATGAAGCATGTGTATGACAGCAAGTTATGTTTTATATACTAACCTCACTACCAACTCCATCTTGCTTTCTTTTCATTTTCCCTTTGCCTCATTCTTATTACTAATATTTATTATTCTAATCATTAATCTTAACTAAGTTCTCAGTTACTCCTTAGGACCTTATTACATGCTGTACATAATTAATAATGCATATTCTATTTTTCAAATCAGGTTATATGTTTCTTGAGGGAAGGAATCTGGTCATTGACTTGTATCTATCACATTGCCTTGAACAGAACAAATGCTTAATGAATATCTAATAAATAGACATACTAAATGCTATAAAATAGAAGTAATATTCCTGGGACAACAATTAGTGCAACATATTGTCATAAATAGCGTTAAGTAATTTTTTGTAAAAATAATCTGGATCTAAATAAATAATGAAGAACTATGTTTCACTCTTCTTTGAATACTCACAAAGTAAAATATATTCCCCCCAATTTCTAACATCACCACTGCTCCACACAAACACAACTGGTTCTACACCATGATTCTAGTGAACTATCAACAAAGATCAAGATTTTGTGTAAAGAATGGATATGATTTTTAAATCTACCACTGTACAGGCCAACTAGAAAAGCAGGGCTCACTTTTATAGTAACCTTTTTTTCTTGCCAAGAAACTAGTGGTAGTTTTATATAACTACAAACAGAAGACAAAGAATGTCTGTCAGGGGAAATGCAATGACTTAAATTATGTGTTCCTGCCATATTATACTTATCTGCTTTTCATATGAGAACAGGAAAAGTTTTACTCTTTGACCAGACTGCCACCTATCTGTAAAATTGTATTACTACAATTTGTTCTGCATCATGTGAACTGTCCACACAGATGGTTAGAAATCTATTATTTTATTTGGGGCCAGTTTCTTGAAATAGGCTAAGTTCAAAACTTTCAAAAATAGCTATAATGTATATGTATAATTGGCATGCAAACTGCAATCATTCTAGTTTTGCCTAAAAAAGGGAGAAATATGCTAGAAAATTAAATGTTAAAAGAATTGGTTATGATGAATTTTAATTACTCATTAAAAAAGAAAAGGCTCTTATAATTTCAAATTAAAAGGTTAATTTAGCCATTTAATATCTAAATAAAACCAAATTTTCTAATTGGTCTGAGGCTAAAAATGGGAGGGGAACCTTTGTAAAAAGACACATCTTAAATAGCATTCCAAAAAGTAGTCCTTTAGGAATAGTCCCACAGCAGAGTATCTAGTTCACCATTATTTCAAAAAGTTCAAAACAGAAAAAACATTTAAATTTAAGCCAATATGATAAGAATTGGGTTCCGACTGATTAGTAGAGTCCCAATTCATACTGAAGTATTAGAGCAATTTTTGTAAAATAGGTGCTATCTAAGCTGACTCTTAAAAGATTAAGTAGCCATTTGCATGAAGGCTGAAACCATGACCACAGGCAAAAAGGATTGCACATGTCTGAGAGGACAAGTGATATGAATGGATATGGTGTAGCAATGGAAGAAAGTAAGAGGTTTCAAAATTGATGGCCTCATTTTCATAAGGAGTGGGTCATCTTCTGAGAGTAAGTAGCATAGGATTGAATGGAGGCTAATACAGAATAATGAAGATGGTCTGAAATACTTTCTAAGGGGAAGACCCTAATAAGTAAAAAGAATGACTGGAATATATATATATAAAAATTTTTTATAGTCAACGAAGTATTAGGTTCTTTCATCTGGACAGCCAGAATCTAAAGACTATATTTGCTTTAAAATAAGGAATTTAAAGTTAATATGCCCTTTGCAGACTTCCTGATGCATGCAGAAATATTTTATGGCATATATTCTACATTTTACAATTCTACAAATCTACAAAATCTTACAAGCATAGGAGAAACATAAACTAAGTAAAATGAGTACTAAATCTAAGATCTAACAACTTGGTGTATATATATTCAACTTCACTTTTACATTTGTTTATATTATTATACTTGCAATTTAGTCTTTTATATTGATATCCTAAGATCAACTTACATGCTAGTGGAATAAGTATCCTGTTACTAAAGTTTTAAAAATATATATTTAAACTTGGGTTTCTTTTGGAAATATAATGCTACACTTCCCAAAAATTAAAGTTAATAAATTTTAAGACAAGTATCATTAATTAATTCTCATTAATTAATTCTCTTCCTTCATTACCTCAAACATAATAGCAACTACTATTTACTGAGGGCTTGACTTAACAACTTTAAAAACATCATCTTGTTTAATCTCGCAGGCTCAAAAAGTAGCTACTATAATCTGTTCTTTATATAAGATAATGGATGTTTAGATAGGCTGAATCATTTGCCCAAAGTCACTTAACCAGTGGCAGAATAGACAAGGAAACCAAGACATTTAGTCTCTGCTCTTTCCATCAAACTACAATGCCTATTCTTTTCACGTAGCCTTAAAGGTTACTCAATTACAGTGAAAAATGTTTTTTATTTTTAAAAAATTAATTTATAACTACTGCAAATGTTCTTTGAACCAATTAATCATACACTGATTGGATATCAGCAAAATTTTCAATACTCACTCACAAAATGATACCAGGACAGTCATATAATACCATTTTTATGAAGCATTTTTAAATAGAACAGAGTAATTAAATAATATGTGTGATTAGATAGATCTTTGGCATTAATGACGGATATATGTCCACATCCCTGAAAATCTCAAAATTCACAGTTCATCTGTAATCATACTGTTGCTCAGAAAGTGAGTATTTAACACCACGAGAGCTATACCATCCCTAAGGTCAAGTAGCAAAAACAAAGCCTTTAAGGAGATGAGGTTGGTAGGCTGACTACGTGGCTAAGTTACCAAGTTTCACACAAATATCTCAACCCATGCTGCACGTAAGAATCAAATTCATGTCTCAGCAAAACTATACATTTCACTATCAGTGGACAGAACTTCAGGGTTATTTGTGAAGTACCGCAAGGACAAATGTGAAATCTGGCAATTCCAGGAATCTATCATACTAGCAATATAAAAAAGATTATGACTAGTCTACCAAACATAATATACTATTTACTAACAGAAGTTAATTTTGTAGAGGAGCTATGCTTTCTTCTATAAATATAAAAATATTCCCTTAACAAGCTAATATATATGTTTCAATTATGTGTATAGTCAACTGTGAATTGCTAATCTACTCACATTTGAATGGTAGCAAGGTGAAGATGAATATGTAAGCTCTAAAAAGCATACTCAATATTCTAATTTTCTTTTTGAATAAAATAAATATTTTTAATACAAATTACAAAAATGGTAGAAATTATTTATGTTTCACAATAGATATAATAATTATAATAAATAGGTCATGACACCATGGCCCAAACCTTTTAAATCTAATTAAAGTCTGCTAGAGTAATCGATAAGAAGTATATAAACTAGTACACAAAAAACTTGGTAAGAATAATATGCCAATTGCATAGACCACAAATTAATACCTGTTAAATAATCTATTATAGAAATATTCAACATTAATAAATGTTTTGATTATGAATGAATTATTTTTAAAACCTTATATTAATTTTTAAAATCAGCTTTAAAATGTTAGCAATTTTCTAGTCTGGCAGAAATTCATGCATAATTTTTTTTTTAAATCTTTCTAGAAATTGTTTTAAATATTGATAGATTTCCTATTATAAGGTGTTCACAAACTATTTTTTGTGGAACTGAAAATTTTTCATTCAATAAAAAAAGATGACATATCATGAAAGATAGATATAAATATGGAAAATGACATATCTATTACATCTTGACATCCTATCTAGTGAAAACATGCCCCAAAAAAGTACTTAATTTTATACTCATAACTTTTTTTTCTGGAATTTCATTCAAAAGCAGATCCTCAAATAGTATTTCACAACGATCGGCAACTGTATTCAATATATCTCTCTTCACTGCCTATGGAAAAACAAGACAGAGCAAATTACAATAAGAAATAAAACTGTTACTTTAGATTTGTATTATTTTATTACTAAGAAACCCTCACATAACTGGTCTCCCTATATAATCACATCCACTAAAATAACTGATACATCTTTCCTTTTTAAATGTCCACTTAACATCCTAATTAACATTAATAATTTAAAAGCAAATTTGCCTGCCTCATATAAAGAATAAATAAAACCAAATAAATAAATGCAGTTTTTCTGCATCTAAACAAATAATGCTACTATTCCGAACTAGGAAATGTATAACTATAAAAAAAGTGCTAGTTGTCCTTTTTAAAATTTCTAAATTACAGAGATTATAGAATACTACATAATCATTCTCTCAATAAATACTTTTCCTATTATTTAAAAAGTTCAAGCCCTGACTGGCTTGGCTCAATGGATAGAGCATTGGTCTCGGACTGAAGGGTCCCAGGTTCGATTCCGGTCAAGGGCATGTACCATGGTTGCGGGCACATCCCCAGTAAGGGGTGTGCAGGAGGCAGCTGATTGATCTTTCTCTTTCATCGACGTTTCTAACTCTCTATTCCTCTCCCTTCCTCTCTGTAAAAAATCAATAAAATATATTTTTAAATAAATAAATAAATAAAATTTAAAAAAAAATAAAAAGTTCAATTTCCCTTAGAGAAAATGATTTCCAATGTACTAATAAGCCACACCGTGGAACACATAATGAATTTGTATAATCATCACTTTAAAAAAGACATAAAATAGACATTCTACATATGAAAATCTTGTGATCAATTACATGGTATAATTGTATTGCCTAACCGACTGGGCCTTTATTAGTCAAAGTTAAATTAATAATGATGAAAGCTGATACTGAAAAAATAAAATCTTAGGATTTTTGAATAGTCATGCTAACACGCTTTTGCGTTTCATGTACCAGTTATTACTCCTTCTGTACCTGCACACCATCCTTAACCTTGGGTTTATTGCTATGAATGTAAGCTCTGCACTTCACAGCGCCCTTAAGGTTTACAGAGCCGCTGCAGATCTGGACGGTGGCTGTGGATCTGTGGTCTGAATTCAGAAGCTGAAAGACAAAAATCACTTTAAGTTCTAATAGCCAACATTATATTAACTATATAAACTACATTAATAACTACAAGAAATATTTAAACATTATAGGAACCATTTCGTAAAGTGAGAAGACATTTTAGAGTTTAGACTGAACCAAGTGTTTGAAAATTTTCTCCATAAATTATTAAAAGGCCTTCATATTTCTCCTTATATAAGCTATATGTCACTTGTTGAGCATTTGAGTATAGTCAAATACTTTATGTTAAATTTTTAATAGTTTTGGGCCAAAAGACTCAAATAGGTTTTATTAAAATAATGTTTCTTGTGCATAACTTTCCTAGAACTGGACATTTTTTACAGTCTCTTACATCTCTAAAATTCTTTGACTCTCTAATTATAAACATAAAAACAGAAATAATTTCATTAAGGTTATTCTTAGCAATAAAGTACTTTAGATAAGAAGGACTTTAAAATATTTACCAACTGCGTTAACACTCTGACATCAAAAGAATAACGACTTGCTTGAGCATTTCCTCTAGGTTTTTTCTAGGAAAAAAAAGTTAAAACTTGATTACTGAGATCAAAATGAAACATAAAAGACAATTTAGGAACTATCCTACACATACTAAGTAACTTAGAGGGAAAACGTATTATTATTTATTTTATTTTAGCTATTTCTATAGATATGTTACTTTGTATATTCTATACCAATCCATGTATGTTGAGAAAAAACAAAACAAAACATTAATTCCCTACTTTTATTTCTCTGTAGTGATTCTCAACCTTCCTAATGCCCTGACCCTCATGTGGTGGTGACCCCAACCATAAAATTATTTTCGTTGCTACTTCATAACTGTAATTTTGCTACTGTTATGAATCGTAATGTAAATATCTGATATGCAGGATGTATTTTCATTGTTCGTGACCACAGGTTGAGAACTGCTGCTTAAAGCAAGGACTAGCAAACTATGGTCTATAGGTCAAATCCAGACTACCACCAGGCTTTTTAAATAGTTTTACTGGAACACACTAAGGTCATTCATTTATGTATTGTTTGTGGCTGCTTTCATGCCACATCAGAACTGAATAGCTGCAACAGAGACCAAACGGCCCTCAAAGTCCAAAATATGTACCATTTGGTTATTTCTGCAAAGTTCGCTAACCCTTGCTCTGAAAGGAGAGATCACCAAAGTTTCTCTTCAGATCAAAGCTATTTTAGGAGCCCATAAAGACTCTTCTTTAAAATGGCAAAAGTTAGTCTTCAAACTGTCATTAGGGCAGGATTCTGATTATTTCCTAAATAATCTCATAATTTTATGAGAAAAACGTCTGCCCTTTACTTCAAAAGGCCTTACAAATAAGAAGTAGGTGAAAACTGTTTTCATGAAGGAAAGGACTCTAGAACTAAGGATACGTCATCTTTTGTTTTTCCTTAATGCAAATAATTTCATAAGTAAGATGATTTTCTCTGAACTCACCTGTCCTTCTAGTAGGTCACAATCTTCAGCTTTAACTTGTCCATTAATCAAATAAACACCATTTTCTATTTGCTTCGCCCAGCGTGCAAGTCCATTCTTATTAAGAAACACAACAGGGATATCTTTCAAATATCCATCTCAAACTCCCCACAATCTACTTTTTCCACCTAATTCACTGGCGTAGTGAAAATCTCTATGTAGCAGTTTTTTGCACCTTACTCATCCTATGTAATAAAAGCCTAAAATGCTAAGTGTCCAGTCGTTTAGTGACCAGTCGACTGTTAAACCAATCAAAGCATGATATGCTAATGATATGCTAAGGCCACTCAACCACTCGCTATGATGTGCACTGACCACCAACGGGCAGTCGACCAGTCGCTATGACGTGCACCGACCACCAGGGGGCAGACACTCCAACTGGTAGGTTAGCTTGCTGCTGGGGTCCGGCCTATCGGGACTGAGCGAGATGGGCTAGGCATGACCTGGAGCCCTCCTGCGATCCCTCACTCGCCCCGATCATGCACTGGTGGGGTCCCTTGCCCTAGCCTGTGTTCTCTCGTAATCTGGGACCCCTCGGGGGATGTCGGAGAGCCAGTTTCAGCCCAATCCTGCAGGCCACTCTCCTCAGGAGGGCGCCTGACACAGGGCTCATGGCTGGCAAGCGCTGCTGTGGTGGCACGAGCCTCTCGGGACTGATTGGGTGCGAGCCGGCCACTGGCGCAGTGGGGCCAGGATGAGCAAGAGTGAGCTGCAGGCAGCTTTGGACTGTGGGTTTTGGCCTAATCTCCACAGGCCACCCCGAGGGACCCCCCCACCCATGCACGAATTTTTGCACCGGGCCTCTAGTATTTAATAATAGTTTTTCTAATCTTTATCTCAAACTACCATTTACATCACTGATTTAGAAGGTTGAATAACTACATGACCATAGTTAAATAAGTTCAATAATTCCCATTATCTTCTTAAAATGTGAGAAGAGAAAAAGCCTCAAATATATAAAGCAGTATTTGCCTCCTTCAACAGAAAAGAAATGAGATATAAACAAAAGAATGATACAAAAATTCTTAAAAAGGACTAAAAAAGAGAAAACTAAAGATCATGCAAAAGCAAAAAGACCAAACAGTATACCTTCTTACATAACTATACTGTACAATGTATGCAATTATGTTAATTAACAAATATTTATGGAGCACCTATTATGCTAAGTATGTTAGAATTATGACATTGTCCCCCCTCTAAATTTGTAATCTGGGGTAATAAATTAGTTACCTCTAACAATATCATTACAATTAGGATGCAATTTTTGAGGATTATAAAATGAACAGTAGACAACCAGAATAAAAGTAAATTATTTTTCAGCAATCACTACAGAAAATTCATTTAACCCTGATACCTTTGTATTTTTCTCCAGAGGATAGCTGACAGAAGTAGTAGACAGTGGGATGTGAATATTAATATGAACTGTACACTCTAAAGAAAGCCATGAAGTCAATAGTCCATTTTGATACTTCCAATCTGCTGGTTTTGCTGAACTCTTTAGTGAGAGAGGGGTAAAAACATAAAATATGTGCTTTAGGTCATCATATGTAAAACCTAGTAACTTGAACAACCTGATAGCTAAGACATTTAGCCAAATTCTTTCATCAAAGGGCAATAGGTTACAACTAAATAAAAACAAAGCATGCATTTCATTTTAGTAATCTTCAGAATACTGAACTTGGTGACTCCCTCCTCCTGCGATTGGCTGGAAAAGACCAGATGGTCCATGTTTAGAATTCTGAGGAGTCCTCTGGTCCTCTAGCTCTCATCGATAGCTTCAACAATGTTAATTCTGAAGCTTCTGATGTGAAGCAAATAACCACTGAGTGGCTTTCAGGTGCCAGATGTTCTCCATTCTGTCCCATCCACTCTAACAGAATTCTAGAAAGTTACTTTTTCACATTGCTTTTAAACACCTTAGTAAATGTTAGTTCGGATTCTGCTGAGTGCAAATAGCTTGCTTACTAGGCACTATAGCTACCAAAAGCCCACATACTTTTACTGCTAGCCTCTCAAATATAATACTAAACACATAAACAAGGCAGGGGGAGTTTAATAAACATATATTAACAACTAAAAAAAAACCACATAAATTTTCCTTGGCTGTAATGAAATATTTCAAAATAAAAAACTATAGGTGGTTGTGGACATCAATAGGAGGGAACAGCATTGAAATTTTTTAAAACTAAATAAAGACTTGAATTTTGTTTTAAAAACAGTTTTCAACACAGAAAAATCTTTAAAGAGCAATTTTTCTTACCTTTGGATCATGGATATCATAAGTTCGACAAAGTATTCTTTACTAATTAAGGATAAAAATGACCCAAAAAATAATTCTTGATAATCAAAAGAAAATAAATCATCAAAAAATAAAATAACTATAAGCATCCAACAGTTTTTACAAAATTATACCATTTTACACACTTAAAAGATATATACACATATGTATGTAATTATACAAATATATATATAAATTGCTCTGACTATAGTTGTGGTGCTTTAAACTAGTTCTTAGGGCTTATAAATCCTGCTAATCATGATGAATAGAAAGCACTTGCTCAAATACACACCCTGTATAACAAATAGGTGTGCTGTTTTGGACGGAGTCAAGCCTGAGAATCTGTACTGGGTCAAGGGGCCTGTACATGAAACTTTCTAGTTAAATATACAAAGGAGTTTAAAGCCCAGCTTCTTCAGGAGCAATCACTGTTTGAATTTTGTCTTTTCCAAATCCTGATTCATTGGGCCCTTGCATTGCTTCACTCTCTTCCTAAGGCTGTCGCTTGGGAGGCATTGTTGCCCTGGCACGATGTATAGGAAAGGGGTCCCTATACCGGGCTTTTTGATCTTGTGCCATTTGATCTTGGCTAAAGTCCTAAAAATTTCTTAGATACCCTAACTGTCCAGTTCAGTGCACCTGTGCTTTGAATTGAACATTTTACCAATAGCAATTGGAGGTAAAAATTTAACATAATAAAGCATTACTTTGCCTAAGCTGTCAGCTGGGGTATCTACCTCTCTATAGGGGACCTATTGTGCTGATAAACAGTTCTCATTCCCTAGTCCTTGACACCTCTGTCAAACCCTTTGCAACCTTAAAGCATGACTATATTAGTAGTAGTAGTAGTAGTACTAGTACTAGTAGTTGTTATCGTGCTAAGTATGTATTATTTACAAAAAAACTTAAAAACTAAGCTTATTTTTTAAATAATGATTTAAATAAATGTTTGGAGGGAAAACTTATAGGAACATTATTTTGGTATTATATACATTTAAAACATAAACACCTAAATAAAAGATACTTTTTTGTAGAAGAGCAAATATGAAGTGTCACTCGATCTGAGACTTCCTCCTCTGTGAAATTCCACAGTCTCTTTTTATTCATAGATTTTTCCACAGCAAATACTAGCTGAAATAGAGGAAAACACACACCAATTGAATGCAAAGTGAAAGAAGAAAAATGAATGCAGAAAAACATACAATTATAATGTCCCTAAGAGCCCATCTATTTAAAATTTCATGATTCTATAATTAAATTGTCTTTTCTTCAAAAGAAAGAGTGAAACTGATTACTAATCATTTGAGTTCCATTTACACAATTGGTTTTTTAAATAGAAAAATATAATCCATCACCATTAAGAATCAACTGGACATAAAAATTAATTTTGGGCAAACATTTAAGTGAAATATAGAATAAAGGCTTTATTATAATAGGAGTGAGAAAGGACAAGTAATTTTTAAACTATAAAAATGGAGCATGTCACCCATTTGGCATTTCTTATTTAAATGTAACAAAAGATTTAAGGCAATATATAAGGACACATACAATATAGTAGCAAAATAAATTAAAAGTGAAAAAAAAATAGAAATAGTGACATATATTTATACCAGAAATAAGAATTATGGAAGGGCATACTTGATATATAAAGAGGAGTTATAAATTTGGCTCTAAGCTTTCTAACAATAATGTGCACATAGAAACCTAATTTGCTACCTACTTCACATGGTCCATAAAGCTGAAAACAATTGATCAGAAGAGGCACAAGTTTCTTCATAATGATATCAAAAGAAATTTCTTCAAAGACAATATAATGTGATATAAAGAACAAAGTTCTTAACAATGATCTTATGAAAGACACTGGCAAGTTTTATAATGTTCTTTCTTATAGTGTTCCTCAATGCTGGCCAATGGAAACAAAGTTAGATAATTCAAACTCAATAATTTCTGAAATACAGCATTTCTAAAGTTTCATATGATTCTTAGGAACAGAGATATAAAAGCAACAGGAAAGAAGATCTGACTATATTTCTCTAGCACTAAGTCCACATTCATCCCCATTCAATCCAGCACCAACCACAAAAGGATGCACAACCTTTATGTTATTAATACATAAAGGTTTTGATCATATTCCAAAATGCCATTAAGACCAACTGTAATATACATTTATCAGTAATTAGAGGCCCAGTGCATGAAATTCGTGCATGGGAAGGGCCCTAGGCCTGGCTGGCGATCAAGGCCTTCCAACTGCTGGCCAGGGCCTCCCTTCCCCAGCTGCCGGCCAGGGCCGCCCCCTGGAGGTCAACACACGTCATAACAAGTGATAGAACTCCTGGTCTCGTGGTCAAACTCCCATGGGGACACTTTGCATACTAGCCTTTTATATATATATAGGGAAAAATAGCAGAAGGTTGAATAACTTCCCAGGGGAGGGAAAAATCTCCATTGTCTTCCCTTACTCCCTTAGGTACAAATATCAAAAGTCTGACAGTGGAGATTTGATAGTTAAGGTTATAAAACTGGAAGAATCTGTGGCATCTGGAATTCTTAGTTGCACTTTTTTACTAGAAAAAGTTTGGGGGATTTTCTGTGGGCTTTTGCACTCTTTAAGATTATGAGGTCTGCTTCTCTCTTGGTGGAGGAAATAACTTTTTTAAATTTATTTATTTAAAAATATACTTTTATTGATTTCAGAGAGGAAGGGAGAGGGAGAGAGAGACGGAAACATCATGATGAGAGAGAATGATTGATTGGCTGCCTCCTGCACAACCCCACTGGGGATAGAGCCTGGCATGTGCCCTTGTCTGGAATTGAGCCCAGGACCCTTCAGTCCACAGGCCGATGCTCTATACACTGAGCCAAACTGACTGGGGTGGAAAATAACTTTTTAAAGAGATGAAAGCTGGCTGTAGAGTTTACTTTAGGTTGTCAGGGGAAACAGCTTGTGAACCTTCATATTTACATGTAGACATTAATACCCAATTCACTGATGTGGGAATAAAATGAAAAACAGGGGATTCATAATAACCAGTCCAGGAATAAAGAATAAATATCTTATTATTGTGATGACTTTATGTTTTACTCTCAGGATACTGAGAGAATTGAACAGAAGAATCACAAAGCCTATTAATTTCACATTATAGCAATCACTTGGAACTAAATGAAAGGTCTAGCAGAATATTGCTATTGTACGACAAAAACAGTTAAATCATTATAACTTGTTTCATAAAAGTAAAAAACCTTTCAATGAAGACTATTTTAACATCTGTAGCTTTGATTAAAAATATAAATATTGGCATTACACACAAGATACCAAGCAATTGGGTGGGAAAGTTATGTCAACATAATCTATAATAATAAAAGCGTAATATGCTAATTAGACCGGAAATCCTTCCGGATGGGATGTCCTTCCAGACGACCTTCTGGAGGAAGCTGGGACACGGGTCCCGGGTGCCTGCTGGTGGCCAGAGGGAAGCCTGGGTCCCAGGTGGCAGAGGAAAGCTGGTGCCAGTAGCTGGGGGAAGGAAGGCGTACTCTTGCATGAATTTTGTGCATCGAGCCTTTAGTCTCAATATAAAGAATTACGAGACAGAAATTCAAATATGTATACAAAGGTATACATATATACAAATAGCATCCATTATAATAAGTTGTAACTTGATCATATTAAGAATTTTTATATTTCATACTTACTCTGCGCAGGGTATTTTGAAAATCATTTCCCATTTCTAATGTTGTAATAATAAATACTCCAAGAACTAGAAGTCCCCCAGGTAGCATTCTGGATACCTAAAATAGAAATATAGTATTAGCTAACATAAACATTTGGCATTATATGCAATCCTTTGTGTCTGAGAAGCTAAATATTAAATCAGCAAATCCCTACTGAGTATCAACTATATGAACAGCATTGAGGTAGGAGCTTTGAAAAACGGGTTAAAATACTGAAAAATGGATGATAACCAAGACAATGGGTGTCATTATGAACACAATCTTCCTAGAGTATCCTGAATTTAACTCTAAAATAACCTTGTAAGTAAAACCATTAAATAATGAAACCCATTAGCTACAAAAATAAACCAACCCCTTTCTCATGAAATCAGAGACTGAAATATCTTGTAAGATTTTTTTTTCAATGGCTTCCACTATCAGCTAAATAAAGTATCAATTTTTCCTTAGACTGCTATTTCAGACTAAAATCTGGATAATCGGATATCCTTCATTTGACACTACTTACTCTGAAATATCAAAATGCCAGTCAAAACTTCTCACTGTTCTCCATACATATGCCTAGGTTTTCTAACTCTATACCTTTACTCAGGCTGAGAGCTGACTTTTTCTTATATTTTTGGGGACCCTCTGGGAGGTCCTTACGGGAAGAAATAATTCTCAACTATCACTGTATCCCTATATTTAGCAGACTACTAGAACCTGGAATTTGATCAGAGGGTGTCTGACTTGAAAATCCATTGTTTCCTATTATCTAGATTTACCTGTTTTTAAAACCTATTTATTGAATTGAGTATTTATGTACTTTGTAATTTTTCTTTACTCTAAAATAATACTGGTTAAAAACCCTAGCAAGTCTTTCTATGTTCACTGGATTATTTGTTTAGCATAAATCTCTTGAGGTGCATTACTAGTTTAAGAAGTTACGCATATTTTTAAAGTGTGTGACACATACTACCAGTTTGTCTTCTGTAATATCTATTATTTCCCTTCACACAACTGTGGCTACTTTTTAATGTCACATGGATATCTTTCTACTATCTAGACTCAGTTAGGTTATCTTTTGTGTAGTTAATATATGAACAAATTGACCACAAAGTTAAGTCTTCAGAAATTAGATACCATAATATAATCCCTAATAGGTTGGTATAGCCACTGCTGGTGGCTCCCACTGGCTTCATCAATTCTATTTATTACAGTAACACAAGCTTGACAATACAAAGAATGACGTTTTCGTATTTAGCGTGGGCATCTGCATGCCTTTTCAAAACAGTAAAGAAATTAACCATTTCTTTCTAGAGGCACAAAAAATTGAATATATTTTGCTACATAAATTTTTATGTTTCTGTATGTGTATATATACATATACTTATGCATCTAAGTATATACACACATATATATTAGCTACATAAATAAACACTTTGCAATGAATATTATAAAAATGAATGTATTACTCACATTCGGGTATTCTTGAATATTTTCAGTTGAAAATTCTCACAGAAAATAATTTTTAAAAGTGTCTATAGACGCTTAGGGCATACAAAGGGTTAAAATTAATTTCTAAATTACTAGCAGATCATATTACCTCCTTCTCAAAATGGGAGCTCTGAAACTTTACCTTAGAGCTACTGTCTACCAAACAAACTCCTCACTTCTTAGGATGGGACTCCAAAGCCATCCATAACTGGCCCCTTACAGTCTTATGTATGTATAACTGTATTCTTTTATATCTCCCGTATTTCAATTATACCCAATTGCTTGCTATTTTCCTATCATACATTTAACTTTAATGCCTTCAGGTCATTCATACATACCTTCCTTTGGACACTGAATTTGTTCCTTTACTCCTACTGGCAAAGTCCTATTCATTTTTCGAGTTCAGAGCCTTCTATCGAACTGTCTGAATCCATCCATTGGCTAGATACTAAATACTACTAGTTATTCCCCCTCTATATTTCTGTAACATTTTTCTATTTTTATCTCATTTCTCTTATAGCTGGTTTGGGTAATGTCTTTTGCTTTGGTTAAAGCATAGATTCTGAGGATTTTTTAAAAATTTAATCATCATTTGATTGCCTCAGTGACTAGATTAAATCTTTAAAACAATCTGACCAGAAACTATATTATCAATAACTGGTATTATTTTAAAGTTATTTTTAAAGAAAAACTGAAAATAAGCTAAATGACCATAGTAGGAGATAAGTTAAAAAACACAACAGATAAAAATTAACAATGGAAAAGCATAGCATATAAGATCAAAAAGTCAGACTGCCTGGGTTCAAATCCCAGTTCCACTACTAATTCTGTAATCTTGGGTAGGTTACTTAACTTCAAGTAAGAAAATGCAAGTTGTGAAAACTTAAGAACGAGTACTCTGAAATCCTACTCTGGTAATCTGAGGATAAAGTGCTTTTATTGTGTCAGTCAATAAACACAAACTTAACTATATAAGGAGAAAACTATGGTGACCTGGTTAGCATGTTCTGTGGCCCATTCTTCATCCAAGTTATCCACCTTATCTTTGGGATGTTTGAGGTTCTCATTGTTTTCCTCTTTCGGTGGTGTTCTAGTGGCAAGAATCACATAATCCTTTTGTGAAGAACACTTAAAAACAAAGTAGAGAAACTTATTAGAGTGATACCTCACTGAGGAAGGTAAAGCCTTATGACGTACAAAAAAAGTAGTATTTATAACAGCTTAAGTTGTTAATGTCTATAAAATAATGGAATCTATACAGAAATCAATTTTCATAAATATGCTTACAACACTTCCCTCACATGTCATCTTCTAATATATTTAATATCAGCCTCTTATTTATTTGGACATCCAAATGTGAATCACATAGTGGTCACTAAAAATGACTTACTGGATGAGTAAATGAACTGCATTTAAATCTAAAGAAAATAAATATGCTTGGCCAATTTTCTAGTTATTATATTTATTTCCTATATTATTTTAACATATTGGTGGTTCAATGAAATAAAGCAAGAAATGACCTTATGCATCTTACTTTCATTGAAATGACAAATATCAACAGAAACTAAAAAACAAAAAGAAAAACAAACAAAAAATGACAATAGTGGGAAACCTGCATATATATGTCCACAGAAAAACAAGGGGACACATAAGTGAAGTGATATAAGATCTCTGTTCCTCAGTTTTAATGGTAATCAAAGCTTGGAAACCCAAATATAAATTTAGGGACATTTAATAGCCTAGTGTTATTACAGTAGAAGGTTCCTATAAAGAAAGAATGAAAATAAGGTTGATAATACAAGTTAGTATGTTGTCATCCTCAGACATGACCTGAAATTCCCATCATTAGTGTCATCTTGGACTAGAAAAGAAAGACAGAGAACTTATTTCTATAAAGGTTATTTCCAGAGAGTTACATTCAAATGTACACAGGAAAAGGTAGGTGCTGATTAAGAAAGCTTTTCCTTCTCATAAAATCTATGACTGAAAAGAAAATGACCCTGGAAGTAGGAAACAGATAAGCTTGAGGGGAGGAAGAGAAAAATGATGAACCCTGGAATAAAGAGGAAGAAGGAACATGTAGAAGAGCGGAAGGAACGAAAAGGCAGCATGAAGCAACACCAGAAGGAACATCCTAAATTGGGAGACGCATTTGTGAGAAACCATCTGTGTGCACTAAGGAAAGTTTGGAAGAGGGTCTTTCTCACTGAACTTTTGTTTCATTGAACCCATCTTTCTCTAAAACTCTTCCTCCCTTAAATTAAAAAAAGATAATAATGGGAAGTAAAGAACCTTAAATAAAAAGTTCCTAGCAAAAGGAACCCGATATTAAATGCTGAGTATCTGGAATAAAAACGAAGTTCAGATTGTTGCCAAGAGAGGCAGGCTGGCCACCTCATGAGCAGCCTCTCGGGATGGGACTACTGGGTGAACAGTGCAGGGTCTGCCCTCTGATTACAAGTTAAGAATCGGGTTTGTGACCATGAAGGTGTGACCGGGGGAGTCGTGGGAATATGGATAGCATCAGAACAAGGAAAGTCCGTCTGCAGTTTGAATACTCTGAGCCGAGGCATCATGATAAAATACCCAGAACTAGAGCTCTGGACAACAGAGCTTCATTTGCTAACAGGCCTCAAACTCAAGCCCTCGGGCCACAGTGCACTTTCCCCTCCACAGTGTTTAGATGGATGCAGGCAGTCTGTCTATGGAACTCTCTTTTGTTGTTGCTGCTGCTGCTTTGTATTGCGAATGAGTCCCCCCTGCTTAGCAACAGTCTTTGGTGCTTATGCCTTTTCAAGTAACTGTCCAAATCTCTATTCCATTTTGTGCTGACTTTTAAGGCTTAACTTTATGAGGGAAATAGAATGTGTATAATTTTCAAATTTCTCCCACCTCTTCCACTCCCTCACCACTGAATTAAAAAAAAAATCAATATGGTAAGTACTATTACAAAATATAGAATGACTGTTGCTATAAGATAAGACAAATTACAATGGGAATAAAACTGTCAAAAGCTACTTTACTATAAAGGACTAAACCACCAAGAATTAATAAAGATTAGAAGGAAGTACAAAACACTTTGGAAACGCACACAAACATACAGATAATGTGATCAGTAAAAATTCTAATTTTGAAGTTTCCACATTATAAATTATTTTTACATTGTCAAATGGGAAAGTGTTCTCACTTGAGCACACCTGGACTAGGTTTGTCTTACTGCTCCACATTTTTCCTCAAAAACCCACTTTAAATTTATTTCTACATTCCATCCCTCCATCCCCTAACCTTGAGTTTATTGTTAAATAGCATGGTTCAACTTTAAATAAACAGGTAATTTGTTCTGTCAATAAATACACAGTAAAAGATACATACCTGTCCTATTAGAAGACCTGAGACAAAAGACTTTCCTTGGAGATTGAGGTTGGAGAGATACTGGCCAATAGTCTCTTCTACAATGTAGGTTCTTCCCATTATTGAGAACTAATTCAATCTCCTAAATTACAAGAAAAAAAATATAGTATTATTAGGGGGGGAAAATATAACCTGCAACATTTTCCACATGGGGGGAAGTAGAGAGAGAAGTGGTACTATCTCAATGCTACCCTATGCTTTGCAGTGATTGCTTATTAAATAGGATATTCTTACTTGCAAAGTTCAAATGTAGCTTCAAGATTCTCTACACAGTGCTGCAGCAAACGACTAACCGACCAGAGTTCATATGAGAGATGAAACTTAATGCCACATTTGCGATAAGGGAAAGGACACTCAATTAGTAGTCAGCACACCTGAATTTTTATTTCAGATGTACTACTCCTTAGCTGCGTTAACTAATCTATTGCTAAGCCTCAGTATGCATTTCTCAAACAGAAAAGATAAATTTTTTTTAATCCTCGCCTGAGGATATGTTTTTATTGATTTTGAGAGAGAGGAAGGGAGAGAGAAACATTGATGTGGGAGAAAACCATTGACTGGTTGTCTCCCATGAGTGCCCCAACCAGGGATCAAACCTGCAACATAGGTATGTACCCTGATTGGGAATCAAACTGGCAACCTTTTCAGGGTACAGGATGACGTTCCAATTGAGCCAGATGGCCAGGACAAGGATGATAATATTTGATTTGCTCACTGGGAGGCAGAGAGAATCTAAGCATACTGTGAAGAACTACACGCTAGAAGTTGTGGCAGGAGAAATGGTATGAAGGTAGTACTTGATGTTTGCTCTTGAATAACTCATAGTACAACAAGAGCTACTGAAGTAAATAGCAATGCAATAACATTTGTAGAGCTTCCACTAAAACAAAGAAAGGTGATGTAACCTGCCCAAGTGACAAAGCTGGTAAGTGGCAAAGGTACGATGTAAACTCAGTCTGGTTCCTGAGTCCATGCCCTTAAATACCATGCCCATATGAGGATTCAAACTCAGTTTCTCTTCTAAACCATTATCCAGGGTAACTCCCGACTGCGGATGAGAACCAGTGTATTCCTCTTACTGCCCTGTGCTCCTTTGATTTGATTTTCTGTAGCTAAAAAACAAAGATGCCAACTAAAAGAGTCGGCAATAACGAACGATGATCTCAAAGAGTTCACATTCGGTGTGGGAGACAAAAATGCCAAGAGAGGATATTCCAACATGTTACAAAACAGATATAAAAGACTGCAGGTACACAGTTGCAGCATATTGAACAGAGATAAGAGTCACCTGAGCTTTATAAAAAAATTTCACTCTGCGTCTGCAAAACAAAGCTGAGGCAGCTAGAGACGCGCTGGGGTGGCGTATCTGACACCAGCAAACGGTCGCAGTGATTTTGCATTCCCTAAAACAAAAGCCCAGAGGGTTGGTTCCACTTTGACATGGCCTGCTGGATGCAGTTTTTGTTGTCGTTGCTGCTGTTTTTCCAGGAGCCTGCTCAGTTTTGTCTCGAAATGCATTAAATTTCTTCCGGCCTCTTTTCTCACAACTGTTTGCACACAATGTTTGTTAAGATTAAGTCTAGAACTGCCTGTCTACATCATTAACGCCTCCATAAAGGGAAGGGCTTTTGACTTTCATAGTGCCTTAAAGTATGCATTTCTGTGTTTGTAAACTTTCCTTCGCTTCATCATGCTATTCCGCTCCTTTCCTTCTGCCCTAATAATTCCTAATTCTTGCAAGAAACAGCAGTGACAGTGACTCCAAAGTTATGGTATGTAACTGTCTGACCTGATTTCTCTCCAGGTGACACCTCTCAGCCACGTTAAAGTGTAAGAAACCGAATGCAACAGGAAGATGAAAATGTATTGGGTGGTAAAATCTGGTTGAACGTTAAGATTTTTTTGTTTGTTTGTGTAGTGCTCCTTTAAAACTTTGAGATGTGGCCAAGGACACTTTACAAAGGACACTCCTTTTGAAAAGGCCTACACAGTTCAATTTTCCCTGAAATGTTGCGCGTCAGCAGAGGAGCTTTCCAAGGCGTCCAAACACTGTGCCTTGAGACAACCCTCCCGCCCTGCGCTCTGATGACCTGAGTCTACAAAATAAATCCTAGCGGGATCCCAGCGGGTCTGAAAAACCCATCTAAACTCAGGATCCTGGGAGTTCATGCACAGAACACCTGCACTTTCCACAGGGTAGAGAACAATGCGATGATACTGTGTACCTAGGGCAAAGTACAGTATGGCACACGCCTGCCACCTTAAGGTCATTTACATAAAATATCTCAGAGACTTAAAAAAAAATCCACCTCAAACGCCTTACTGATAGTCGGAAAAGGCCTACTACTGTGGAGGAACTGCAGGGTGAACGGCACTAGCAATGCTTTGTTTTCAACGAAAACTTGAACAAGTCATTTTAGGAGGCCATCCAACATGACGTCATCCGTAGACTCGGCTCGGAGGCCAGGGCCACATCTGGGAACCAGCGGTTCTCTCCAGGTGGCAGAGTGAGGAGTGTTTTTTATAAGAATCGTGTTTAAAAACGGCTGTTACGACAGTGTTTTTTTTCCATTTAAAAAAAAATATAAATGTTAAGGTCACCTTTTCTGCAACGTTCCCTTAGAGCGCAAAACAGAGGTTACACTCACAACTCCTCCGCGCTTCCATTTGGAAATACAAGCTTCGTCCTGGACGATGAACCGGGCTCCTGGAATTCCTGGCGGCTCACTGTTCCCCACCCCAACACGCTCACACGTGCACACACTCACTCCCACGCGCGGCACCTGAATAGCTTTTTCAAATAAGCTGAGTCCGTCACAGCTGGATTCGTGTGCTGTGCCGTAGTGTCTGTCCATACGTGCCCTACGGTCTGTTCCCTCCTTAAAAAAGGAAGCTGTGTGTCCCAGTGCGCACACACACACACACACACCTTCGCACGCACGAATTACACCCTCAGGCTGAATCACCGGTCCGCGTGGCAGGCAACTTACCTGCCAGTCAGTCCCAGGAGCTCGGGGTCCAGGCGCCAGCCTCCAGGGACCGATTTCCCTCGGGCCTTAGGCAGTAATTCATCAGCAGGCGACGGACACCCCACCCCTGACGCCCCACCCCTTACTTCCCACTCCCACCCCGGGTCTCGGGCGTCGGGTGGCGCAGACTGATGACGCAACGGCCCCCTGCCTTCTCCGCAGTTCCTCTGCCAAAGCGCCTGCGGGCCACCCCGCCCCCTTCCGGGTACCAGTCACCGCGGCGTTTGCCATCCGGCCCTGCCGGGACCGATGCCCTCTAGCGGCTCGGTGTCTAGGAGCCGCCAAAGAGGACTAGCCATGGCCTCCCGAAGCTTTGATGGTAAGCTGGCCCTGCTTTTTAGGGAGGGGCGTGGGTTAATTAGCACCATGTGGCGCCACCTCGCGGACAGTGGCCACGCGGCCTGCTGAGGAGAGCCGGGGGGCGGGAAGAAAGGAGGAAGCTGACCCGACGTTGCGTAATTGGGCTCCGTGAGGCATTTGAGGCGGGGAAAAAAATACATTTCCCAGAATCCTGCGGGGCTTAACTGGTGAAAAAGGGAAGTCGGAGTGCAGGTCCGGGTCAGAGGCCGCCTCTGAACTCCTGTTCCCAGGATGCACCGCTGCCCGCGGCTGCGCGCGCATTCGGACGCGGGCGCTGTAG